GTAATTTTTTGTCAATGGTTGAAGCCCTCGAAGGTAATGAAAGAACTGTATGCTAAAACCTCCCATTTATAGACTTGACAAAAGGAGAATAGATAACTCCAAGGCAAAACAAGATACAAATATTGACTTATCTCTAGAAAGGATCAAATTATAATATGATTGATTTTAATAGGTTAAATACCCTTTTTGGTCCCTTTATTATTACTAAAAGCCCCTTTTTGGTCCTTGTATAGAGAAAAACCCTTTTATGGTCCTTAAAATTTAAAATCCGACCCCTTTTTGGTCACTCCGTTAATTTTTTGCTAAGTTGTCACGTTAATTAACGAAATTACTTAATTATTTTTTAAATAACTAATATTATAAATGACATGAAAATTATATGGATAAAATTATAAATTCGTGCAAGCATTTCATCTAAAAATTTTAGACCACGTGTAAAAATTAAAAATTTTCCATTTTAATTATGAATTAAATGAATTTAGACATAATTAACTTCAATTTCTTCATCCTCTTGTTTCCCCACATTCTTATCCTTGTCCTCACCTCACCCTCATCCTCGAGCATCATCATGTCACCGTTTATCTTCACCATCCTCTTCATCATCTTCACCATCCCCTTCACCATGCTCTTCATCGTTATGGGTTCCTAGGGGTTTCGCAAGGAACCTAGATCTAGGTTCCTCGAAGAACCCAGTTTTTGGGTTCCTCGTGGAACCCAAGTTTTGGATTCATTACAGAAACTCAAATCATGTTTGATATTTGGGCATGAAATTGCATATGATAGACTTATGTTGCTATGAACTTCATAACTTGGTGCATTCATGATCTAGATTCAACAGGAAGAAAGGGTCAAGAATCTAATATTAAGGAGGGAGTAAAGAGAATAATCTGTTTTGCAAAGGAGAAATTAGGGTTTATTAATGAAAATATTCCTATGGATTCTTAATTATGTGTTAACCAATCTCATATGTAAATGGTTGATTTTGAATGAAGAATTTCAAAAGAAAGAAGATGATTTTCGGAGAGGGTATTGAAAAAACAAAAAAAAAAAGAATTTAGGGTTTTGTTTTTTTATGCAAACAGAGTTACATGGAAGGGTATTATTAAGTCCATGTAAGCACCTTTATAGGGTGTGGTTTCCACGTCCAATGTTTCCATTAAAATAATGCGCCACGTCAGTAAAAATTAATGGATGAACCAAAAGGGACCAGATTTTAAACTTTAAAGACAAAAAAGGGGATTTTTCAGTATAGGGACCAAAAAGGGACTTTTTTCAATAGTAGAGGACTAAAAAGGTATTTAATCATTTTAATATAAAAGAAAGAAAGAATATAAGATTCAATTAAAAAAATATATATCATATCATTATGAAAATTGATCAACCCATGAGAAATCAATTTATTAATTGATTGATTTCAAGGATTTGATATTGTAATCTCATTAATTAAAAAAATACTTTTAATTAATAATTGTCTTCTTTCATGGTGTATCCCTTACCATATTATATTAGAAACTTCTTCAATCTCACCCCCCACTTTCACATTTACTCTCTTACCATGGATGGTATTATAAATAAAGTAGTCCTCTCAGGCTAATTATTCCCCACATCATCATATCATCTATCTCTCTAGCTACTAGCTCTAGTTACGTACCTTAGAAACCCTATGCGAAATCCTGTGGCCTTTAAGGATCATGGCTAAGCAATCTGCTACAAGAATGGTTTTCTTTGCTGTCTTGATGGCTCTTACATTAAGCACTCAAGCACGACCACCTTTGCAAAATAAGGTTGAGAGCCACCTTTTTTTACAAGAACCAAGTTACGACGAAAAGAAGCTGGAGCATTACCAACATGTCCTCGCATCAACTATAGATACAGACAAGCAAACACCTAGTGGACCTAATCCAATACACAACCCCCCTCTACCCCCAAACATGGCTTAAGCAATATAAAAAGCTCTTTGTTGTCTTAATATATAGGTTCAAATCAGCACATATTGCACTATGTGTACGAATAAAGAAATGCAATATGCATTTGGCAAAATAATCAAATATCTATTTTCTCATGATTATTCACTCTCTTTTCTTGCCAAATTACATGGGATGTTTAAAACATTAACGTAACTAATTTTTGGTTAAGGAACCAACTTGGAGGCTTGGGTTACAATATTTGGCTCACAACTATCTAGTCCATTTGGCTACGGATAAGCCAACTCATGTTTAAAGCCAAGAAAGAAGAAGGGAAAATGGTGGTGGAACTAGTGAAGATAAGATATTTTTACTAGCTCAAGGCATCAAAATGGCCTAATTACCACTAGACATACAAGTTATCTCTTAATTGATCACACCTAATTGAACTTCGCTTGAAAAAGGGAACTTTATAATTTAAAAAAATGATTAGTACAAACTCGATTTAACACAATTTTTAACATTTATCTTAGTTTAACTATTAAAATATAATATAAATACAGTCGATTCAACTGATTCTTGCATCCTATATGTATGACTAAATCTTTAAGTTTATTCGCTTTAAATTTCATATTAAAAAAATAATTTTTTAATGAGCATGTTATACAATGTATTGAATTAAAATGTGTATCAATAACTATTCTTGTATTTAACCTGGGATAAAGGATATAATTTAGTGACAACATTTTTTCTCTTGTAAAGTTGAGTATGCTCCTACTCCCTTTTGTAAAGTTAATTTGTTGACATATAAAACAAAAAAGCTGAATCTCTTTTCATCTATATATAGTCTACCATTTCCACATGAACCTTTTCACACAATAGTGACACACTAACATATGAATTTTGTGTTGATTAAAGTTAATAAAAGAAAAAAAAAAAAGAAAAGAAAGATGAAAAATATTGATAAAAGTTCAAAAAGAATATATACAGGAAACTGTTACAAAAGTTCAATTATTAATCTTATTGAAATTGTTATTAAGTGAATGTATTCCACTAACTTCGTCCTTTAAACTTGTGAAATCCACCTTCCTAAATAGGGACAACAAGGTAATTAATGTGGTTGAAAATTTGCGAGAAGAATTTGATAAACTTTTTGTACTCTAATGCAATGATTATGATTAGATATCAAAGAATGGTAAAATAAAAACTTCTATTGACAGAGATGAATTGATACCATGGCTTCCAAACGTTATAACATGCAAGAGATATAACCGCCAAGTTCAAAAGTTATATAACTCTCCTTGTGATATTTTTGGAACTCAAACGACATATTTCACAATTTAGAAACTTTTATTTTCATATTTACACTTCAACCTCAATCTAAATGCATCCTAGTGCATAACAACGTAAAATGAATTCCCTCCCTCTTTACGCATTAATATGAAATGCACCCTATGTGTTTTTTTTTTTTTTCAATTTTCAAGTAATTCAACATATTTTTAAATGTTAAATGCATACCCTAATTAATATATAAGGTAGCATTTATACCATGTATAAATTGAGTCAATTGTAGTAATAGGTTTTAGAATTATTATGTTAGATTGATTTAGAGTTTTTAAGTTTTTTCATTATTAAGTTACCAAACGCTTTATATAAAGGCTACCTATGTACTCATTTTCATGTTATAGAATAATAAAGCATTTTGAATTTCTTTTAGTTTTCTTTCTTTCTTTTTCTTGCTTTAATTTCCTACACGAACCTTGAACTTTTGGGAGAGTTGATGTCCGAAGCAACGATAGTGCTGATATTGATAATGAGGTTGATAGACTTCTGGGAAAAACAAATGCCAAATAGGATTTTAACATAAAAGTTGTTAATATATATAACATTCCAGTTAAACATAAATTTTATACAAGATTTTAGCCATTCATTGTTCCATGATGTATTGATTAATAGCTTAGATTTATCATAACTTTTTGAAAAATAATACATACATCCTATAAAGTCACAAATTCCGTTACACACTTCAATAACTGTTAGTTATGACAACTAGACCTTTGTCGTCGTGACCTATCGCTATAGGTTTTGAAGGGTCTCCACTTTATTGTAATATCCCAAATTTTCGGGAATTTTAGCATTTAAGTAAGGGTTTTTGTGAGAGAAAATATTGTTTTGGGGCTTAATAATCGAAAATTCAAAAGTTGAGGGATTTAAAAGAGAAAAGGATTTGGATAAGGATCCACTATATTTTTTCCTTCTTTCTTTCTTCCTCATCCCGTATGCTTCTGCTCTTCCCGACCCCCCTGCAGCCGAACAAGAAGCAAACTGCCGGCAGCACCCATCCCTTCAAAAACCGGTAGAAAGCTTGAAATTCCTCCTTCTTTCTTGCTCAATAACAAGTTTTAAGACTTAAAACTCTCTCTCTTAACCCAGAAATTTTCAGATTTACTGCTGCTTTCTCCCCCCTTTGCCGTCGGTTGCTGCTGTGGGTAGTGGGTTCGGTTTTTCTGGTAAGGAAACAACATGAACTTCATATTTTCAGCCTTAATTTGGCTTAGGTGCACTTTAATCCCTTCTGGTTTCTTTCAATTTGGGTAGTTTGTGTGATTGGCCTCCAGGATCCCGTCGGCTTCCTCACCAGCCAAGCTCGATTTCTGCTGGCTGAAATTCTGGTATGTTGACAACTCCTCCAAGCCCGAAATTTCATCAATTAATTGCTGAAATTGTCCATTTATTTAATGCTCTGTGCTGTCCGAAATTCTTCTGTTGTATGGTGGGATTTTCTGCTAGAAGAGGGAAATATTTCAGCAGCCTTAAACCATTTTTTTTAAGCTTGATTAAGGTAGAATTAGCTTGATTAATTGCTGCCTATGTTGTCCGAAAATCTGCTGGAAAATGGGGAAATTTCGATAGCTTAAGCTATGTTTTTAAGCTTGGTTTAAGTGTAAATTAGCTTGATTTGGGCTGTTGTGATTTTGGAGCAAATCCCGTGAGATTAGCTATGGTTTTGCCAATTTTTGGAAGTTGCAATTACTGTTTATTGCGTGATTACTGTTCACGGACTGTTCACAAATACTGTTCACACACTAATGGCCGACAATTAACGGGGATTAAATGTTTAGTTTGTAATATAAAAATAAATTTGGAGATGTCCGGTCATATGGAAACTAATAGAAATAGCATGATTAGGGGTGAACCTAATGAAGTTTTCACTTTGAATTTGTGATAGTACGATATTAATTCTGGGGTATTTTGATTAGGTTTTTGAGTGTTCTGTCACCCGAGTACTTGGCTTGAGTTTCAGATTTGAGGTAAGTAAATTATGGTAACGCTCTTCGATTTCAAAGCATATTTTAAATTGTTTTTGCGATGGTGGCAAGATTTAAATTGATTTTAAATTGATTTTAAATTAATTTTATTAGCACCGAGCATGATTGATTCGAAATGGAATTATTTTTGTTTTCATTGAGTAGAGTATGCCACTTGGAACTTACTGAACTGCTCTGATGATTTAACAATTTTTCATAAATTATGATTTTTTGTTAAATCCATGCTCACATGGAATTTTCTAGTTATTTTTGAAATTTGAGATTGATTGTGAATTACGGATTTTAATGTAAATCTTGCCTGTTTTGTCTCTAATAGGGTCATGTTATTCGTGTGCCCGCTAGTGGGAGGTTTATAAACACTAGCACATGTCGACATGCTACTGATAGAACCGGTTTGTTTCTGTTATCCTGCTAGTAGGATTATACACTAGTAAATCGTGTGCCTATCAGTGGGAGGTTTATAACACTGGCCATGACCTATAGAGGAGACGTCTATTTCATTTCCGTACTCATACCTGTTTTTCGTGATTACACTGGTTGGCATGCTATAAGTTTAATTAAGGGCTATCCATATTTACTTACTGAGATATGTTATCTCATAGTTTTTCCTTGTCCACCATTTCAAGAAGCAAAGTCAAGGACGGGGAAAAACGAGGGGAACAACGAGTTAGAAGGCTAGCCATCTTGTAAATTGAACATAGATTTTAGATATATAAATCATGATCTTATAAGCTAGACTTTATTTGGAGACTTTATGATATCAGGGCGAATTTTATAATTTTATCTTTAGATTTTGTGGTACCAGATTGTGGTATGATAAGTTCCGAGCCTTGTGCATTGTGTGACCCTCTCACAAGTGTACGGCATCTACCACATTCCCGAATTTGGGTTCTGGGGTGTGACAGATTTTGTGGTATCAGAGCTTAGATTGAAATTAAGAGCTTAGGATTAAATTAAGCACCTCCAGATTGAGTGGTATTAGAACAGATTGAGTGGCATTAGAGCTTAGGTTTAATTAGATTTTGTGCTATATCTAGGATTTGTTTAGAACTTGGCTGGCCAGGGGATTTTAGAACCGTGGTGAGATGAGTGATGGGGTTATATAAAGGACGATTCTAATTCATGTTGCCTATATTTTCTAATCCATTTTGATGAGATGGTAATCTAATTGTTCTTGTTTCCTGTCTTCATACCCTGTGTAGATTCATGAAATTAATCTTGTCCGCCATGTTCTTAAGACCTTGTTTTGAAACTTGGTCGTTTTCTGATAGTCTGCACTTGTTTATACTTGTTACTTGAATAGAATTTTTGTATTCTCTTTTGCCACAATTGTAAAATCTAGGGAGTTGCAAAGATCATTTGTTATTGATCCAGTTAGTCTCTACAACATAGTTGGTTGAGAAATTTGTTCTATTTGTTACATGACTAGTGGAAGATGCGCAACCCTCTACTTTGTAAGAGATTCAAGGCTATTTTAGTAAATGTTGTGTGTTTTTCTAGATGTGTTTTAGGAGATGGATAACTTGGTAATTTCGCTACTCATTATCTTTATGAAAGTTTTATAGTGAAATTTCACTTTTTTTCATTTGGAGCTTCATGGTCTTTTCATGTGGCTCATTCTTCTATATTGGTTAATTGCACTCTCATGTTCCAGTATTCTTCCAAGCATTCATATTTTCCACTGATTTTATTCTAATGCTATTTTGGAAACTTCACATGTCATTGGATGGGTCTAGCTTTTAACTCTTGTTAATTGCTAAAATTTGTCTATTGATTCTAGTTGTTTTGTTAAACATGACCTTGCTTATTGGTTGACCTTGTTTTGTGGCAGAATTCATAAGGCATCCATGCACTTGTTCATTCATTCAGGATTCATATATCCATTGGATGCTTATCCATCTTTGATAGAGTTCAAAGTTTTGTTGTACTCGTCTTTAAATCCATGCCATTCTTTGCTAACTCGTCTTGTGTTGGGTTGATAGCGTAAACCCACAACTATTCTTTTGTGGCTTTGGCTTGTGCTTCCCATATCACCCCAGCCTCCAGTAGCTTGTTTCATGGTAAATCCTGTTAAGTAGTTCATGTTCTGCTTTTATGATTAGTTGTGATTTGATATCAGAGTGGCGCAGCGGAAGCGTAGTAGGCTATGTTCTGTTCATAAAGAGTTGGTGAGGCATTTGTTTTCTCTTGGATTGTGTAAAGCCATTCACCAGTCTAGATGATCCTCAATTTGAGTTTTGGAGACAAAACTCCCTTTTAGGAGGGGTGAATGTAATATCCCAAATTTTCGAGAATTTTAGCATTTAAGTAAGGGTTTTTGTGAGAGAAAATATTGTTTTGGGGCTTAATAATCGAAAATTCAAAAGTTGAGGAATTTAAAAGAGAAAAGGATTTGGATAAGGATCCACTATATTTTTTCCTTCTTTCTTTCTTCCTCATCCCGTGTGCTTCTGCTCTTCCCGACCCCCCTGCAGCCGAACAAGGAGCAAGCTACCGGCAGCACCCATCCCTTCAAAAACCGGTAGAAAGCTTGAAATTCCTCCTTCTTTCTTGCTCAATAACAAGCTTTAAGACTTAGAACTCTCTCTCTTAACCCAAAAAGTTTCAGATCTGCTGTTGCTTTCTCCCTCATTTGCCGTTGGTTGCTGCTGTGGGTAGTGGGTTCGGTTTTTCTGGTAAGGAAACAACATGAACTTCATCTTTTCAGCCTTAATTTGGCTTGGGTGCACTTTAATCCCTTCTGGTTTCTTTCAATTTGGGTAGTTTGTGTGATTGGCCTCCAGGATCCCGTCGGCTTCCTCACCAGCCAAGC